AAAGAGACTGTCCAAAGTGTTTCTTTCTGTATATGAGTTTTGATGTGGGAACAAACAGGAATGAAAATTGTTCCTCATTAAAAGACTACTAGTGGAGATGACCTTTGGAAGACTCTGTCTGCCTTCCCACGCTCTGACACATTTATCCTATGTAGGTTCACAAACCTACACCTTTGCTATTTATGTCTCCAATCTTCCCGCAGAAATTACATCCTAAATGCAAGTGCAGGAGCAGCCTGGCAACCTTGGTTCAGCTGAGCTCAAGAGGCTTGGTGGTATCTGAAGCTCAGGTCACCCAATGCACCAGAACCAAGCTGGTATATTTGCCCATCAAGGTAATTAAGAGCTGAAATGTGCTCTACCTAGAGCCGATGTTGGGCCCTGGCTTTTTTCCGCTCTTCCCACTATCCACAGCTGACAGCTAACGTGAATGCCAAAATGTTTATATCCAGTAGAGTGGAGTGATAATGCTCTGCTACACAGAGTTCATTTCAACAGGATGCAACAGTCCCCACTTTCAGCTAAGGCATAATTATCTCCAGCAAAGTGCTGATCTTTCTCGGTATCATTATTAACCTACTGTAATCTGAACAAGCTAGGATGTGTCCAGAGGCTGTCCTGAGAATACGAGGGTCTGAATAGGCTTTTAGAAAACAGATCTGTGCATCAATCAACCTGCTAGAGGTTTTTTTTTCCACTAATTAAATGTCTTCCTGTCCCTTGGACCATGTTTCAATATCATCTGGTTATGACCTATTATAATCCTCACATGAAATCAAAAGCAGCAACAGCAAAAATGCTCTTTGCGCTTCGTTTCTTTCAGCTGCAGCTGCTTTTCTTTGCAGTTTTTTCCCCCCTTGACTACAGCATTGGTTAAAAAAACTCGCGATTTTTCTTTCTAAAACCTTTAACTCTGTATTCGAGTCCACCGGATGCCGTAACCCTGCTTAGGGTTTCGAGGTTTTTTTCTGTTTATGAAATAAAACAAAAATTATCAGAAAGACACATGCACAGACAGAAAAAAAAAAACCCCACCCAAGACTTAATCAGCCATTGGAACACAAGAGAAACAGAATAGAATAGCATCCTGCCCGAAATAGGTCTGCATCAAATCTGTGTGTTCTCAAAAAAGATCGAGCTATACCAGCTTGTGGCCATAAACATGTACATTAACAACTACATACTGCTTTTTACTTTTTATAAGCCAAATAGCTGGCTGTCATACCAATGAACCAGACTTCTTCACCTTGTAATCTGATGGATACATTTTTATCATTACATTTCCATATCTGGATTTCTGAAAATGGACCACAGGGAAAACAGTTGTTCTTTACAAAATGTATGTTTATTTATGTGTGTACATTTGTTTCTTTCAAACAGCAAGCAGGTTTTTTTTCCCTGTGCAGAAATTACTTGAGTACGGGGAAATATCTGCAGTTGCAGAGGATTTGGGGAGGCTGTATACTAATGTCAACTCAGGGCACAAGAAAACAAATGAAGGAAGCTTTCAGTGAGTAATTCTGTGCAGTCAAATTAAAGTAAATCACCTTCATTAGGATCTATAGAAATTTGCTGTCAAAAAGCCAACTGCAGTATCTTTCTTCCGGAGAAACATTTCATTTGCCAAAGGCTCCTTTGGCAAAAGGAAAATTACGAAAAGAAAAACTGCTCTCACTGGAGTTCAAATCCAGCTGTACTCTGTATAGTCTGTCTAAAAGTTGCAGACATCTTTCGGAAACATTTTGGTTTGGCTTGCAGGGTTCCTTTCACTGGTACTTCCCCTTACTGAGCCTCCGAAAAATTCTCTGCTGTGTGTTGTGTGCCTTTTTGATCCTGCCTTTGTCCTCTAGTCTTCTGAGAAGAAATTCTGACTCTCCTCTAAATTCTTGCAGGCTTTGACACCATCTTCTAATCCCTCCAGCATTAGAAGATGTCAAAAGCCAGTTCACCTCTAACCGCTCCAGATCTTGTGTTACTTTGCACGCACGTTTTTGTATGGTCAGCAGTTCCACAGTATTTTCAAGGAAGAAGTTTAAATGCTGCCCACTTCGACCCCGTAGTGAAGATTTCCCTCCCTGTCAAACGTATATGTTAAGAAAAAAAGAAAGCTAAACATGAGAGGCATTGCATACAAAAGTACTTACATAAGCTTTAAAATCATGACATTTGTAAAATACTTCTCTTGTTCTCTTCCACTTGCCCCTTGCTACTTTAGTCTTTTGGATCATGCATTTTAAGTGTTTCTCTGTGCACATGAGATCAAACTCTTTTTTAACAACAATGTAGAACTTGAAATTCTGATGTAACTGAGATCTTGGCATCAGAGATCTGCGTTAAGGGACTTGCAGACAAAGTCCCTGAGGCTGCTGCACAAGGTCTGCCCCAGTGCTGTGAGATAGTCCAGAGCCCAGAGGCTTAGGGTGTTCCCCTCAGATCTGAGTGAGGCTGAGCTGCCTGTTTAAATGAACATATGCAGGGTGATTCAGAGGACAGACACTCCTCCATTACCACTTATTCAGTAGCCCAACTCTTGAGGCATTTGCTGGGTTTGGGAGAGACTCAGCTCCTGCTCCCATGCCAGCAAGATGGCAGCCTGCAGCTGGCTCTGTCCCAGAGTGTGGGAGAGCCTGGAGCACGGGGTGCTGGGTCATTTTCCCTCCCTTGTCCCAACCGTCACTGTAAAATGACAAAGCCTTCCCTAGGAAAAATTCCAGCAAAACAGCAACATTCCCAGAAACATGCCTCACCAACAAAACCCCAAGATTTTGCTCATGCTGGCACTTTCTGATGAAAGGCAGTTTTCTGATGAAAAGTGATTTTCCGGTGAAAAGCATCCAGATAATTTTCACAGCAGGGATGAGTGCATGACTCCTGTGATGTGGCCCACTGTTGGAAGAGCAGCATCCCACCCTGCCCTGGGGTGCAGTCACAATCCCCTTGCCACTGACCACCCACAGACTTGGTGATTGTAACTGAGTACGTCTGCCATTAAAGCTGGGGTCAGGCTGAACTTGCAGTCAGCCCGCTCTGAGTGTTTCTTGTGCTCCTGAACAAAGATGATTCAGATACTGTGCAGCCTGTCCTCAAAGCTGGCTGGCTGTGAAGTCAAAATAGCAGTTTCTGTTTTTAAAGTCACCAAGGGGCCATGAAAGGGCCCTCTGCTTCTTGCTATACACACTTTGATCAGTAACTATAGCTTAGTTCATGCTTCATCTTCAGTCCAGCTGCTAGCAAAGGTAACCAGAGCCTTGCCTTCAGTGGGAAGGGTTCTCTCTCATGGTGTGCAGCCATGTTATGGACACTTCAAGACAGCTCTTGTACAATTGTCCCTGTGCAACTTGTCTTTGTTGAGGAGAAAGGGCAAGGATGTGGGTAGGAGCTACACCTGCTTACCTCTCTGAATTTCCTTTGATCCTGAGGCAGCACAGTCCCAAATCACCACTTTTCAAAACCTCTCGGCCTGCCATTTTTATCCTGCCAGTGAAGCTGCAAATAAATAAACATGGAACACCAACAGGAAAAAAGGAGATGACATAAGACTACAGCAACTGCTAGAAGGTAACTGCAGGGTGTGCTAAAATACCCAGCCAGAGTTTAATTAACTTGTGAAATTACATTATGTGCTATTCAGTTGCAGTCGTGCAGTCAAGGGGCTACTGAAATACAGCTACCTGCATGTGCCTTTCATTTCTGCCTCCAATTGCAACTATGAAGCCAAATGGCTGTGTTTTTGGAAAGCTTGGAGAAGGGAGTCAATGGGAGGGAAGACAAGACCACTTGCATGAGGTCTTTACCCATGCACTGTGGTTGCCTATCACTAACCTGGCAGACTTAAGAGACATGAGACGTGGATGGCACTCCTCATCTAGGAGGCTGCAGAGGGAACCAGCTGTGTTTCCTTGAGTAACCCTGTCCAAACCAGAAGCAGCCTTCTGCTTTGGGCCATCTCAGCCCCAAACTGCACAACCAAAATTAGACACCTTGTGTTTCTAAGCCATAAATACTGAGCCCTGAAACCTGTTCAATTGACATTTTTTCCCTGAACATGCTGCAGATGTCTTAACAGCTGACTGCATGGACTTGGCATATACATCTGAATTGAGGAGAAATACACAGACACACCTACCTACTGGGCAAGACTGTTACTGTGATCTTAAGGCTTTCTTCCATTTCCCTGCCTCCTTCACTTATTGTCCCTGCAACACGCAGATATATTCTTCAGTCCACTGTCCTGCTTCTTTTTGCCCTAGCAGAGTTGCTGGGAAGAATGGAAAGCAGGTAAATAGTACTACAGGTGCAAAAAATGCCCTTTCATTAGTACCTTCTTCTGAACCAGCTCTTCTCATGCCTGCACCCACTTTCAGCACACATTTCTCCAAAAGCAACAGTAATTGTTAGAGGGAAACAAATGTTATCTGGCTCTACTTTATGGAGAGCAAACAAAACCTAAAATCAGCAAGAAGCAAGAAACACAAAGAATAAAACAGATCATAAAATACCGATGAAACAGAACACCATCAACTTGCCTGATTTTCACATTCCTATCAGGAACAGCACAGTACCTCACCCAGAGAGGCTGGGGGATGAAATGTCAAGACATCCAATGTCTTAAAACTCCTTGGACTCTGTAACCATGGCTGGGAGCAGCTTGAGGGAACAGTATGTGCTCCAGCAGCCAGCTGCTACTATCTCCCACTCTGATCACACCACACACCAGTGGAGAGGGGCTATACTATAACTTAAGGAACAGCGATATACCCTGGGTAACATTTCCTTTGAGGATACTACTTGAGACTCTGCTACATTCTCACTGCCTGGTGACCTCCTCCTGGGCTAGTATTCCCTTCACTTTGTGTTTCTTTGGTTTTCTCGTGTTTATAATCTGCTTCACCACAATGCATACACAAAGCTTCTCAGTCTGTGGTTTTCACCCTCGAAACAAGCACTGATACCAATTCCTTCTTGCTTACCACACACACCCCTGTAAAACAACCAACATTTGTATCTGGAGCTTGCTGACAGGTCCCATAATACAAGTGAAGGATTTGATTTGTTCAAGAACTACCCATATTCAACAAGGTAGATTCAAACTGGAGTGAGTTGGGACAGTAACCCAAAGTTGCTTGGATGTCTAATGGAATGGAAAACCTGTCTTAAAAACAGACAATTAAATGCATTTGGCTTGCTTACCATCAACAAATGAAGGCAGACATGTTTTCTGTCTATTAATATACCAAGGGGATGAAGAGAAGTGTTGTTCAATGGCTGTCAAATGTTCTCATTCTGGTCTATCTGGACCTGCCGAAAGTACTGCTATATCCATCTACTTACTACCTGTCTGTTAACAATCCACAGCTCAGCCCACAGAATGGGGAATATGATCATTCCATAATCCTCTTCAGTGCAAAGTCAAACAGGATAACACACTGGCTCGTTGTAATACAACTGCTGACTTGGTTCAGGAGTGGCTGGGAAGGACAACACCATCAGCTAAGTAACTCTAATCAGCAGGGGAGGTAGGAAGAGGAAGGAAAGGGACCTTCCAAGCTCAGGTTTTACTAGCTATGTACAAAGAGAACCCACCTGTAATCGAAAGAACAGGGTTGGCTGGAGAAGAAATAGCTACTCCAGCTTTCAGAATTTGCACTCTAGAAGACACATGAGGTTCCAAAAAATACCCCCTGCAAGAACAGGGAAGACCAGAGATCTTTTAAGATGAAACTTCTCAGTTTCTGGGAATGGTGGTGTTGTAGTTCTCATGACAACAGAGGTCTGCATTCACCTCGAAGGACCCCTCCAAGTCCTACTTGGCCGTAATGTTCAACTGGCAAAGGAAATGATGCACTTGGTGCTGCTGGAGCTGCCCCTTGGGGTCTGAGATTCCTGCCTGGCTGGCCCACAGCTTTTGTCTGTGCATGTAGAGATATAGGCAGGTTAATAATAATATTTAGAGAATTACAACCTATATGGACAAGAATAGGTTCACTGCCATTTGCTTGAACAAATATTCTAAGTCAAAACACTACTTTTGTAAAATTGCTTATTATATTTGAAATTCATCAAGTTTTGTGGCATTCAAGGCAGGATTTCACATACCACAGCCCCTAGGGCTTGCTTGCCTTTGCACTGCAGCAAACAGTGAAACAGGGAAACACCTACTGGTGACACAGCTGTCCAGGTGCACTCACAATTCCTACACAGCCTGCTGTGCTTGGACCAGGCATGACCTACCCAGCCTGGTCTCAGAGGGCTGTTCAGCACAGAGGATTTGTTTATCAGAGTCACTGCCACGGAGAGAGGCAGTAAGGCAAGAAAAAAAATGATGACTTCATCAAGCCACAGTGTCCTGCAAAGAACAGCTTCAATTTAGAAACGTTGATTTTCTTAGTATTTCTGACTAAAGTTACCCTGCAATTTTCTATTTCCAGATTTCCAGAATGTTTTTCTTTGGTTTGGCCTATTTTTTCAATGAAATTGAAAGTAAAAAAACCTCAAGAGAACAATGAAGCACCAGGAGCCTCCTTGCTGGCAATCGTCCCCATCTTCCCCTGATTTTACACAAACTAGAAACCTTCCTGCTCAGTGCCCTCTCTTTTCTAGATCTGATAGAGTCATCAGAGCCTTGGAAGCTACAATGTTGTTGTTTTTTTAAATCCAGTATCTGTAAATTTAAGAAAATGCTTCATCCTGAGCTTGCGCGTGAAGAAGCCCAGTTACACTGCAACTTAGCAAATCTGATTTCTGAAAAACTGTATTTTCTATCCTAGTGCTCTGAAAACAAGACAGACTCAGTTCTCACCTGGAAAAGCTCGAACAATGGCACTTGGCACTTACAGCACACCTGCTCCTCAGAGATAAGGCAGATTGCAAAAATAAAGATGAGGGTTATCTCCTGTAAGTGGCAGAATAAATCAAAACACTGCAGAACCAGAGCAGGGCCAGAGTTCTTGCCAAGGGCACTTAGGTGCAGTTGGAACAGTTTCCCCGAGGAATGAGAATTCCTACGCCCCACACTCCTCTGAAAGGACCAGCCCAAGAGAGACAGGGCTGTGTGACAAAGCAGTGGCATTCCCAGTGCTTTCACACCTACCAAGCACCTGGGAAAAGATGATGTTGTGGTGGCACCTGGCTGTGCTCACAGATACTCGCAGATGTACAGCGCCTAGAACTGTGGTCTTCCTAAACCCAGCATCCTCTTTCCTTTTTCTTCTCCTCAAGTTTCTCTCACACTAAAAAAGAATCTCAGTCTTGTTCTCTCCCTCTCTCTCTTACTAATCATATTAAAGAATAACTGATTCTTAACAGCATTTTAAAGTACATCTTCCCTCTCATTTCTCCCAGTTTCTCCATTCTTTCAGTTCCTGTTTTTCAAGTTCTTATCCTCCTGCCTCCCACTCACTGCTAGTCCCATTTTACTGACCCATATTAATTTTTCTGGTTTCTGCAACTCTGTAACCTGATATAAGAGTTGGGGGTGTCTGGTTTTTGTTCTTGGAGGAAAGGAGGACGGAGCTTACTGGTTTCCTTTTATGTTTTTTTCCAAACCCGTACTCCCCCCGCTCACTTTCCCTTTATACTCTTATCTGAAAGCAAGTGAAGGATTTGCCTGTGTTGCCTGTGGGTAGATTTGCTTTCCTGCTGGTAGCAGCTCAGGCGCAGCTGGCAGTCAGCTCCCACACTGCCCTTGCACTGAAAGGCTGGAAGTTGTGCTGCTGCACTTGCAAAGAGGATGGATTTTTACAAGGTGGATCTGACCACAGCAAAAACATACACCCTCTCATATTCTCTCTTTCTGCTCAAGGCAACAGTAAAAACAGTGCTTTCTGTGACAACAGTGCAGAATATAAGAACTTACCTTAAAATACCCAATATTTCTACTGTATATGAAGGCAACTAGCTGCAGACTGGGAGAAAATATCTGCAGCGTCTGCTCACAGGCAGGCAGTGCAGAGACCTTTTGGGAGTGTGCTGCAATTTCTCTTCTCATCATCTCTACCCACTGTAGCGTGTGCCAATTTTCCAACACAGCTCAGGACGCATTGGATGGCTGGGACCTTCACACTATTCTCTGTATTTCCTATTTGAATCCAGGCTCAGAAAATGAGCTGGAGTGGAGGGAAAGGGAGTGTTTGTGTGTGTGTATGTATGTGACTGTAGGGAAAGGTGAGGGTAGAGTGAGTGAATCATCAGAGGGGTGGGCTGGCACGTATCCTGGTGAACAGCCTGTTTCTGGCTGGGGCTAAGCCCCACCAGTAGCATATCTCAGCCCCTGCAGCATCCCCTACAAACATAGTCAGTGCTGGACAAGATACCTTGGTTAGGATGCTGCTTTCACTTGACCAGACTCATGCCATGTCATCCTCTTCAGACAGCTTCCAGGCTTCTGAGTTTTTTTCTGGCTGCCCTCACCTTTAATCACAATTATGAACTGTCACTGCTTATTTCATCTTCTGAATGCCTTCAGGTCTGAATATGCATGAGGGCCAAGAAAGTCCCAGACATACAGCATCATCCTCACTGGCACCTCCTGCACCAGCAAGTCAGGGACAGGAGGGTAATTGCTCATCGACCTGTAAGGTCAGAAGAGGCTCTTGAGCTGATCCCCTGTAGAGCAGAGGATCTTGCCAAGTGGCTCATGAATCATATGCATGGCTTCAACTGAGCTGAGTTGTAACGTTTAGAAAGACTGACAGAATGTATTTAAAAATCCTATGAGATGTATGCAAGCATGTCTAGATAAATGGTTTCCATTGTTAATTACCCACACAGTAACATACTATAATTTAGAGCATGAGTTTCTCTAGCCGCAGGTTTCAATTATTGTTCACTGTTGCCCACAGACATTCTCTTATTCTGATTCTCAGTACATTAAAACCTCTTCTAGTGTCTCATTATAAAGCAGAACTTTCAGATTTTAAATAATTTTTTCAACTTTTTTTTCAACTTGCCTGCTTAATGGATACCAATCTGGACAGTATCTGAAGCCTCACACTTTGTCTCTTAACTAGCATGTCGGATGGGAAATCGTGTACAGCCAGAAGTTTTACCAGGGTCTCCAAATCCTTAGAGTCCCCACTTTCCAAAGGACTCTTTTGTCCCAGGGCCTTTAGGCTTTCTATGCTTAGGGGTTGCACTCTCCTAATGGCCATGCAGTTCCCTTCCCATGTTCAAATCAGTTCAGCAACCATGCCAGATACTTCTAATGTGTCGTTTCCTGTAC